TATCCTTACTGGCAACTTAGACTAAAATTGTAGAGTGGCTAATTAAGGTGGATGGTGAGCTTCCTTGATAGACATAAATTGCTTTCTCTGTCTCTGTTTCAGCAGTCAAAAAACACTGATGATGCCATATTTCATCTCCTGGATGAGCTGTATTAGAAGATAAATGACGAAAAAGTGGCCGCGGTAGTTTTTTGAGACTTGAAAAAGCTTTCGATTGTGTCTGTCATGAAGTACTGCTTCTAGGGGTGCAGTACTTCAGAGGGGTTGGATATCACTGCAGGAGTGCCCTAGGGATCTGTTGACACATTGAATGACACATAAAAAAAGGGTTTGTGTGCCTCTTGGCGGCCATTTTAATTCAAGTTTGACAGCATCTTGGATAGTTCAATTAGTTTGCTCTTTGTCGAATCACACGTTACAAACAAGAAGGAACAATTAATTCTGAACTGGCCCCTGAATAAGAATATGACGCAAGCCTGTCACAAAGTTGCTTCTCATTGGACGCTCACCTGCAGCCTACAAGCGACGCGCGCAGTCCAGGTAATAAGAGATCGGTCTATTTTTACATTGTGGAATAAACGTATCATTAGTATATTATTTAATAGACCTATCTATTTTACCAGACAAAGAGATAATAATACGAAAACATTATTAGATAGAAAAAGACGCAGAACGCTTATTGCGCAAGACGAGGCAAAACGTATCAAACCATGTTAGACTTATGTATAACAATCCCTTTTTATTATTTGCACGGGATAAAAAAGGAAGGTGGATAACCGCGTGACGTGCAACGTATTTGTCAATCAAAAACACAAACAATTGAAAATCGATTAGGTACTTGTCAAGCTACCTCAAGTTATTTATCAACCATAATTCTGATCCTTGTCAGACCACGGGCAATGAACAAGGACAAGGAGATGCCCAGCGTGCAAAACGAACACCTCTCACCTGTACTAGTTAGCCAATAAAAATGCATTGCCTCGTGTTGCGCGCGCATACAGGTAAAAATAGATAGGTCTATTAGGCAATTCAAACCACGTGACATTCAAGATGGCGTGGCGGCCACACATGGGCCAAAAAACACAAAAAAATATCTAGTTTCTGTCCGAATTAATAGTTTAGGTACCTAGTCAACAAATATTTTATTAGATAATGAAAACCAAAGTTGTAAGCAAAACTGTATGCAAAATAATTTAAAATACGCATAAAAACATATTCAAAACAAACTTGTTTGGCCGCCACGCCACATTGAATTTTCCTTTTTGACAGATGGATTGAATTGCCTAATTGACCTTTTGTTTGGACGCCATATTGCGGTGCGCGAACATAGTTGCCAACAGTAGAAAAAAAAATTATTAGCGTTCTGTCAACTTTAAAATCTAAAGTTAATGAATAAATTACATTTAAAATTTAAATTTACCGCCTATTACGAATGTTTTTGGAAAGAAAAACCATCAATTTTAACTTGTATTGAGCAGAATAGAAATAATAAAATATCTAGTTGACAGCCCGCTAGTAATTTTTGGTTTTCTTGTTTTGGCAACTATGTTCGCGCACCGCAATATGGCGTCAAAACAAAAGGTCAATTGTTTCATTTCAAATTAAGTGAATATATAACAGTGGCGCAGTCGTTATTTGAACCAATATGTCAAATTTTCTCGGAAATCTCGGTTCATTTGACCCGGAAAAGTCCGATTATAAAATATTTTCGGAACGGCTACAACAGTTTTTTGTCGCAAATGAAATTACTGAAGACAATAAAAAACGTGCATCTCTTCTAAATACATTAAACGAAGATTGTTATGTTTTACTACGGAATTTGTGCGTGCCGAAAACACCGCCGGAGTTGAAGTTCGAGGAGTTAGATAAGTTGTTGTTGAAGCATTTTTGTCCCGTGCGTTCTTTTTTTTCGGAAAGAAGCAAATTTTACTCAGCTAAAAAAGAGACAGGGGAAAAAGTATGTGATTGGGCTGCTCGCGTTAAAAATTTAGCAAGTTTTTGTGGGTTTGGTCTCTATCACTCTCGACCAGTTAATGAGGGATATATTTACGGTGGGTTTAAATGAAGTGCGTTTCAGTGACCGTTTATTTGAGGAAAATCCTCAAGATAGCAAGTGTACTTTCCAGTTTGTGGAAAAGATTGCATTGGCAAAGGAATCGGCCCTCTTGGACCACGAAAAACGTGCATCCAGGGAACCGCTCACACAAGTTAAAACAGAACCAGAGGAGTTGTTTTATAACACCCACAAACCAGGTACTTCTCGGCAGAGCAGGGGTAAGTCAAAACCTTCAAATTTAAGGACCCCTCACCAGGAACAAAGATTGAAATCATCAAATTTCAATGCTTGTTCAATTTTTGGGCGTTCAAACCACAAGTCATCAGAGTGTGCTTACCGCAACTGTTTTTGTCACAAATGTGGAGTAAAAGGGCACTTAGCACCCTTGTGCAAGCAGGGTAAAACGGGCCAGAACTTTTTACTTGAGAAAACGCTGGGAAGCTCAGACGAGAGCGATGATCCATGCTTCAATGTTAGGGACAAACCGTTGCAGTTGCATGGACCTATGCACAGTGTTCGTGAGTCAGAGCAAAACATGCTTCATAATAAATCTGAAAATTTAGTTAGGGACGTAAAACCTATATTGATTGAAATAGAGATTGATGGATTGAAATTTATTTTTGAAGTAGACTCAGGTTTCGCCCACGCTGCGATTTCAGAAAAGATGTATAACAAATATTTTCGAAAATATCCGTTAAATAATAATGATTTATCATTAAAAGATTATGTAGGTGTCTCTTTTGAACCTTTGGGTTTTATTAATTTTAAAATAAATTATGTCAAAATTACAAATTTTACTTCGCTTTTCTTCCTTGGTAATTACACTCGTAGTATCGCTGATTCATACCTGGCCGGTAAATTATATTTTCGATTCAGAAACTTGTATTTTTAAAAAACATTTATTTTATTAATTAAAATACAATAGTGACAATCGTAAAATATGTGGATCAAATTGCTACAGGGAGTGCCTGAAAAAAAATGAACGCTCCTTACTGGAAAGCTCTGGCTTAAATAATAAATATTTGCTGATCCAAGCATTTTCCAATGCAGGTGGCGGTACTACCAGTGCAGTACCGCTGATTAAGCAGTTTTATATATTTATTAGTATTGACATAGGCGTACGCTAATAATTAACATAGGAAAGGAGAATTATTAGTATAAGGATAACATGGGGTCTTACAATATAACTGGTACATTTCAAAGCAAAAAAACTTCTAACATAAACATAAACACAAAAACCAACCCAACGACAAAGGAATGTCGTGGCTTCACTTCGTTATTTGTACCCATAGACAATAAAAAATAAAAAGACCTTCAAAAGTATAGCCGAAATAGGTTATACTATTACTGCGCATCCGGTTGCGCATAGCGCATTGCGGAATTTTTGAAAGCTAGAGACTTATGAAAGATCAGTCCGATCATTCAATTCTGTTTCATCTTTCTCTGTCATACCAATTCACAAGACAAGAACACCGTATGAGTTACAGAGCTTTCCTAGCTGTTTTGTAGAAACCTATCAAACATCCATAACTATAGAAACTGTGACCGAGAAAACAAATAAGTAACCTTAAAATAACGACATTTCCGTGTTGAAATTTGTCATTTTTAAACGATTGGGCGGTCGTCTAAGAAGACTCGAACTCACAAAATCTAAAGAACAAGAAGAAGAAATTGTTATTTTTATTAAGGCACTCGGTATCGCGTACCTATAATATTATGTACAACTAGGATAAACTGAACCAGTAAGTATACATGTTAGTTTTGTGATATATGGCATATTATTTTACTGTTTTAGGAGACCTCAGTCAGAAGAGATAAAATGTAGATGTTAGGCCTTGGCCAGCTTAGCTTGTACATACATTAAAGCATGTATAAGGGATGTAATAACTTTGTTTGTAAACTCTTTAGGTATTTGACCTATATAGCTATAATATATATTTTCTCTGGTACAATTTTAGTGTTTATTTTGCCTTTTTTTTTTCAATCTACATCAAAAAATGGCACAAAACCTTATAGAGTACCACATCATTTTTCTCATTCGGATTTGAGAAAAAAAGATGTGGAACAACATAAGTAAGTTTTTTGTGCAATCAACTCAAGTCAAATTTCAAAATTCTCGCCATTTCAGTATTTGTTCCGGCTGCCACTATTGACGCCACCGTCGCTGTGACGTCAGCGCTATACAAACTTTCATGCTATCAATCAGGTACTCTTACCTTGGTTTATTATATTTCTCTATGTTTGTACCCTGCCGGTAAAAGTGCGAATATAAATTCGCTGAAATAGTGTTAAGGTGAGTTTACACATGCATGGATTTAGTGGCGCCAGTGGTCCCGCCAGTTCTATTTGCACGCCAGTAAAGGTTTAGGCACTTTGTGTGAAAAACAGAAATAAGTGGCACGCCAGTTTCACTTTTAAAGTGCTTTTCTCAGTGTGCACTATGTCGAGTGAACTTTCCGAAGTCTGTAAAATAGTCGCTAAACTTTTAGTAAAAGAAAAAAAGATAAAAGAAATACAGAAAAAGAAACGCAACCAACGAAATGGCCGTTTCTGGGTTGAACCATGGATTGGTCGTCGACCCACTTTGGCTCCTTCTGCAAAACTTCTAGGAGAACTCGCAGCAACCGAAATGAAAATCAAACGAAAAACTGGCGAGCGGACGCCGACGTGCAAGCACTTGTTTACACTTGCAAGTTTTGATGTTCTGTACGAATTTGTCACCACTGGCGCCAGTGATTTCAGAAGGATGCAGACTTTTTTGGACTATGCATGCAAATATAAAATGTGTATGCAAGTCCATGTTTACACTTGCTAATAAAATTTACTGGCGCGCCAGTTTTTATTGGCGCCACTAAATCCATGCATGTGTAAACGCACCTTTTTATTTGAAAAGGTGATTTAAGTGTTTTTTTCTTTTATTTAAATATGCCAAAAAGGAAAAGAAATGAAATGTCGAGGGACGACGTTAAAAAAGCAAGAAGAAGGAAAGTACGACGAAATCGTAGAGGCTCTCAAACAATTAAAAGCAAGGGTAGATTCAGATGAAAGCTCCAGTGGTTCGGGAGATTCTGATTCTGAGAGCGAATGTAAGTACTCAATATTAAATGTTTGGTGTTGAAAAAATATTGGTTATTATGAACATCCACGTAACCGTTATGTTACAATATTACAGATTGATGTAAAACCAAATAAAAAGTAGTCGTTATACTACTAATGATAGCCCTGAAACTTGGTCGTTAAACTATGCAATTTTATGCCTACCTCAATTGAGGCTAAAAATTAAATAAGACGCCTTTTATTTCAGCCGCATCAGATGAACAACAATCTATACAGATTGTAACTACTGCAGACGTCCATACGACTCCAGATAATGCATCAAAAAATGCAGACTATTATTTTTTGGGATTGAAACCAAAATCAACAAACATGGCTTCTGACCCCCTGCACGACGAATTAGCCATTAGATGGACAAGCTATCTTCAACAAGGTATAGATAAAGATAAAAAGAACGAACTTTTGGAAAAATATCCGCTGCATGCGAATTGTCCTTTATTAAAATCAACAATTTTGGTACCAGAAGTAATATCATGTTTGATGTTTGGATGAAAAATTACTGAGACAAGATACATTTATGACAGTATTGCAGGATGGAACAGGACATGCATTAGCAGCTTTGGGTTCTCAACTGAACAAACTATTGGAAAATCCAAGCGAGGAATCCAAAGAATTACTCACTGTGTTGGCAGATGTTTCTCAATTAGTCTATAATGTACATCATTCCATTTCTACCCACAGAAAATATACCATCATGCCCTTTTTAAAACAATCCGCAAGAAAGGTAATAGAAAAAAGTAAGACCGATGAATTATTGTTTGGAAAAGACTTCGTATCTGACCTCAAAGCCATTGACGCAGCCAAGAAGACAAGTTACGAATTAAAGCCTACAAGGAGCTACAAAGGCTTTATGTCATCAAGATCTATGGCCCATAAACAATATGACAATACAAATACTTCTCAAAATAAGTATTTAAACTGGAAGCGCCCGAATCAAAAATTCAGGAAGAAATACACAGAAAAGAAGGACAAGACGGACAAGAAATATTACCACAGTCGCCGTTAGTGAACAATAAGGTAAATAAAATTTATGCAGGACGTATTCAGTATTTTTCAAGCGAGTGGAGAAAACTTACCACTGATAAAAGAGTCTTAAAATGGGTAAAAGGAGTTGTTATACCCTTTAAAAGTTACCCTCAACATTACTCAACAATTATTTGTAAAAAAGATACGGTTTTCCCAAGCTGAAAAATTACTTTACGATCAAGCACTTGATGATTTATTGTTAAAGGGCGCGGTGTCCAGGTGTCAATATGAAGCAGGGGAATTTTTGTCCTCCTATTTTTTAATCAAAAAACCTAATGGAAACAGACGATTTATTTTAAATTTGAAAGATTTAAATACATTCATTGAAGCCCCACATTTCAAGATCGAAGATTTTAGAAACGTGTTAAAATTAATTACCCCTAAATCCTTTCTGGCTAATATTGACATGAAAGACGCCTATTACATGGTTCCAATTGACAATAATTATAAGAAATACCTTAGATTTTTGTATAATGGAATGAGATATCAATTTACTTGCTTACCTTTTGGTTTAAATTTAGCTCCATTCATTTTCACCAAGCTATTAAAACCAGTTGTCTCATTTTTAAGACAGAGAAATATCTTGTTTACTATTTATTTAGATGATATCTTAATAATAGAAAAAACACAAAATTATTGCCAATCAGCAGTGAAGGAGTGTATCAATTTACTTGAAAGTTTAGGTTTCATAATCAATTATGAGAAAAGTTCATTAATACCAACTCAAGAACTAAAATTTTTAGGTTTTACATTCAATACAGTCGATATGATATTTTTCTTGCCTTCAGATAAAAAAGAGAACATTAACGACAATCTGATTGCATTAAAAAAGAAAAACAAATGTAAAATTAGAGTTTTAGCAGGATTAATTGGTCAATTAGTAGCCGCCTGTCCAGCGGTAAAATATGGTTGGATACACATAAAAGAACTGGAACGGTTGAAATACTTATCTCTGAAAAATCATCAAAACTATAATGCAACTATAAAAATTCCAGAATATGTAAATAATAACTTAAATTGGTGGATAAATAATATTAAAAGTTCAGCTCAATCTATTTCCAGCAATCAAAATTTTGTTCTAGAGATATTTACGAATGCCTCCAATTCAGGGTGGGGAGCGTATTGCAAGGGTCAATCTACTCACGGTTTTTGGACCGAGAATGAAAAACGATGTCATATAAACTATCTTGAACTGGTAGCGGCTTTCTATGCGTTGAAATGTTTTGGTAGAGGTTTTTCTGATAGTGAAATTTTGTTGAGAGTAGATAATAGGACAGCTATAGCATGTATTAATAAGAAGGGGAGTATTCAGCATAAGAAATTAAATACTATAACAAGATCTATTTGGGATTGGTGTGAGACTCGTAATATTCAAATTTTTGCATCGTATATACCTTCTAAACAAAAAACACTCATGCAGATGTTGAATCAAGATCATTGGCTATTGAAACAGAGTACGAGATAAATCAAGAAGTTTTCAGACAAGTTTGCAATAAATTTGGAAGGCCAGAAATTGACTTATTTGCCTCAAAGGAAAATGCTAAATGTGAAATTTATGTGTCTTGGGGCCCTGATCCTGATTCAACTTACATAGATGCCTTCACAATCAGATGGAATTTATTTTTTTATGCTTTTCCACCTTTTTGTTTAATTCAGAAGGCTCTCAACAAAATAAGAAAAGACAAAGCTGTGGGAATTTTAATAGTGCCTTATGGCAAGCACAACCGTGGTTTCCCCTCTTTAAAAGACTCTTAATATGCGATCCCATTATTTTTAAACCTAATAAAAAACTACTGTTCTCGCCTTTCAGAACCCCTCATCCACTACATATGAGTCTTACATTGGTTGCCGGGAAATTATCCGGAGGTAAAGAGAGGAATACCAGAATCTGCTATTCCTATCATTAATGCATCTATAAGTAAAGGAACATTCGACCAATATAATATATGTTACAAAAAATGGTCGTCATATTGTAGAATTAGGAACATTTGCCCAATTACATTTGATTTGGGACACTATTTATCATTTTTTCAAACACAGTTGAATAATAGTTTATCATATTCAACAATAAATATGTATAGATCAGCTCTTAACTTAATAAACCCACAAAGTTCGGAACATGAAAAAATAATTAGCAGATTTTTAAAGGGAGTTTATAATATTAAGCCTCCAGAACCGAAATATAAATTCACCTGGGATACAAAACCAGTTCTAGATTATTTGAAAAGCCTTCACCCTCTAGAAAATATAAGTTTACAGTTATTAACAAAAAAGTTAGTTTTTATGTTGTTAGCTCTAACATCTGGTCACAGAGTTCAGACACTGTCAAAGATAACTTTACAAAATATAATAGATTTAAAGGCAGGGGCGTAGCCAACAGGGGGGGAGACGGGGGAGCCTCCCCCCAGGCCGCAGCTGGCACAGGGGCGCCAAAATAGGCAAAGTGAAAAAAAAAAGGAAAAAAAAATAGTCAAAAGGCAAGTTTCCGAGTAGGTAATTAATAGTAGATTATACCACGAGTCAATGATGATAGCTATTATTCCCGAGGAATATTTACAAACTGAGCCGCGTTAGCGGCGAGGAAGTAACATTCCGAAGGAATAGTAGCCATTATTGCGATTAGTATACTCTACTTTATTTACCACAAATTAATTTATTTGAAATTTTCTTTCCAAAAACGCTCTTTGTTCATCCATCTCAATACAAATACACAAGCACTACGCATTTGACACTGACACTTTTGAGTTTGTTCAGGTATATTGTTTCCATCCTACTTATTTAATTTGAGATATTTTGTGATTGGTGTGCAAGCGGGAATAATAATTATATGGCATTATATTGTCAAAATCACAAATATAAAACTTACATTATATGTCAGTCGTAAATAGATACTATTTTACAACTATTATAATGTGAACACGCCCCGCCGGTTATTGTTACAGTGACTCTATAACCCACAGTGGCGACAATTGCTGTCTCATTTTTGATTGGTTCTAAAATCCCATATATTTATATTAAAAACGCCGCCATCTTGTTCCCAACCCCTTGTTACTTTTGAATATGAATATATGGGATTTAGATGAACATCCATCATAAATCATGGAAAACAACGTATTTGATGGACCTAATAATGGTCATCAAATACGTCGATTTCAATTTTTTATGATAGATGTCCATTTAAATCCTATATACTAATATTTAAAAGTAACAAGAGATTGGGAACAAGATGACGGCGGAACCTCTATTGTCGCCACTGTATGTAAAGGTTTATTTAGCCACTGTAGTTATTGTGAACCCGCTCCAGTCAAGAGTTCCATATTTCTATTGTGAACACGCCTCAGTCAAAAGTTCCATCGTCAGATTAACATGAAATATATAGGTTTATTATGATTAAAATATGCCCCAAACATTGGCTCCCATTCTAAGATCACTTGCGGACACTTGGTGCAGATGTGCCATATTTATAAATTGTCCTAAGTTGCAGGGAAAATGGAATTGGAAATTGGAAAAAATATATCGTAAATATAAAAACCTAAATAGGTATATGTATATACAATTATATAACATAAAATATCGTGGTGCCAATAAAATTTGAATAAGAATTTGTGCTAGCTGACAATGGCAGCACTGTCCAAAATCTCGAAACCTGGTTGTATTCGTCTGGGAACGCCCACCTGAATCGTTTTGTCTTTGTTAAGATAACCAGATAAAGAAGGATGCAAATATTGCCGGAGCAAGCCCGACCATAATCGCGAATGCGCTCTAGTATTTATAGTGAGAAATGTCAAACGGGATTCGTTGTTGATTGGTCGGCATTGTCTGCAATCTTATCCCCACTCCATGTAGTTCATTCATTATTCCACTATTGACGATTAGGATTTTTGGCCGCAGAAACCAAACGATTTTATGAATGACTTGCCCTCTCTATTTATATAGTGTTACTCTAAGTTCCATCAAAACGGGATAACGGAAACTCGGTGAATCACCGGCTGATTCGGCAATGGGAATTGCTTCTGCGAGCATAGTGAGCAAAATTTTACAGAAGTCACGTGATTTGACACGTGAAAAAAGATAAATGGTGAATAAGTGATCACGTGACGTCCGTCAAAATTCGCTTTTTTTGCTCGTAGATGCAATTACCGAACCCAGCCACCGACTCAACTTTCCGTGACGTAAGTGACATTGTCACGTACAGGGTTATTCTTTATAAATGTTCCCTCTATCTTTCTTTTTTGACATTTTAGAAAGAAGTTTTGGTTTTCTAGTTGAAACATTTTTTTTTTTAAACTTACTTTCGCATATAAAGGGTGTTTCAGAAAAGCTGGTCGTGGTCCAACTTATTTTAAATGGAATACCCTGTATATTATCGAATATTCGGATTCTACGTAAAATCACAGCATCACAGCACATTATACAAAAACAATCAGCTGGCTAACTCGAGCTTTGTATCCTCAAATGGCGGCGTGCGCAGAAAAGATGCGCGTTAAATCTTGTGCTTTTGCCGTAGTCGTGATAGGCTGTGTCCTCAAATGGCGGCGTGCGCAGAAGAGATGCGCCTGAGAGTTAACCTGCTGTTTGTTTTTGTATATGCTGTGGGAAAATTCTGAACAGATCTCATGTGATAAACCCTATACCCATTCCTATACCTAAGTTCAACTGGAAATATTAATAGTTGAAAACTGACTTTTTTGCAAAAAAGTAACAGGTACCAGTCAAAATTTTTTCTCAAAGGGAAAAAAGTATCAGAAAAAAAAGATGTATAGATGGAAAATGGTGAGATTTTCCCGTCACAGAAAAAAATAGTGTATTATACACGGAAAAAAAGTAAGATTTTATTATAGCGCTTGCTGTGTTGTCTCCCTCCGCTTCGCGTTGGGAGAAAAACCACACCTCGCCCTAAAATCTAGTACTAGTATAAAAAATAACTATTAATTAAATAATTATTTTTCGCCTTTGAATTCAACTGGCTTTGCGGCGCTT